CACCTGACTGCTGTAGTTGTCGAACACGGTGGGAATGTACTCTTTGGGAAAGGCTCCAGTGGTGTAGGAGATGAGGAGACAGGTCTTCCCCACGGCGCCGTCGCCCACTACCACACACTTTACGGTCTGCATGATGGAGTCGTGGAGCCTTCAGAACCCTGCAGGCAGAACAGAGAACAGGGTGGGGCTCAGCGAGCGGGCTGGGAGGAGGCTTCAGCTCATAGATGATCTTCATGCTGCTTCACTGATCTGCTCACAGTTATTTTTACATCACTTGTTTATCTCACAGCTCACTTCCTATTTTCTGCAGAGCTAAAGTCTTTATGCAGAAACACAGCAGATAAAATGGCCTCCAGCTGCTCTGAGAAGTTTCAGGATTGTTTTCTGTCTCTTGGTTTGGTTTACATCTGTGTTTATCATGTTCTTTATTCTGTATTGGACCATTTCCGGCCAGGTTATGTTACCATGGTGTTATTTAGTGTCCGTTTCAGCTCAGTGTCTGAAAGTTTCAGATCTCTGTGGGTCAGCGGTGCCCAGTTCCAGTCCTGGAGAACTGCTTCCCTGCAGCTTTTAGATGCATCCCTGCTCCAACAGACCTGATCCTAGTGACCAATGATGCTAATGAGGGAGTTTGGTTCAGGTGTATTGGGGCAGGGATGCACCTCCAGGACTGGACTTGGGCAGCCATGATGACTAATTGTCATCATGTGTGTCTTCATGGTTGCTTCTGTTTCAGGTATAATTTACATTGAGTCTCATATTGTGTGTATATCAGTATGTTTATGACTTTGTCGTCACTTTCTTGTCATTTTGGGGTAGAATTTTGTCTGTTTCAGCTGGTTTTGAAGGTCTTTATTTTGTGTTGTGTCTTTTTAGTGTTTTTAGGATTCCATTTTCTCTCTTTATTAGTTATTATCCACATATTTCTGCTTGGTCGGGGTATTTTCCCATCCTCTCTGCAGACACGTTTGAAGGAGTTTACCTTCAGAGGGTCTTCTCCTGGTGAAGTCTTGGTGGTGTCTGCAGCTCTCTGAGATGCTTCAGGTTCCTCTGTAGGACACAGTTTGCTCAGAAACACGTGACATCCATGTTCTGCCTGCAGGACGAAGGGGAGGGGTCAGTATTTGTGTTTATGGAAATGATTCCTGCAAAAGGAAACGGTATCTAAACAAAGCAGAGATGTTATCCTGCTCTTCCACACACACATTTGCATAGTAGCTTGAATATATTAGAGTTTTACAGCTGAAACACACACACACACAGTGGGCCCACAGAGACAAAGCTGAAGTGTGTTGTAAGGCGTACAGGAACGGGTCTGACTAACAGATAGAGGAAGAAGTTTTGAAATTTTGTTTCATTGTTTCTCTCCGACCCACTTATCTTTTAGGGTCCATAAACCTGGAGTTCTACTCAGGTCCAAAGGTTCAAGTTGTATGTGAGAGTTGTTGCATTTGGACCAGTCACAACTCAGGTTAAATGAAAGGGCCAATGAATGTCCAGTTCTGTGAAATGCATTGAGATTGCAGGGTGACATCAAAATCATCAGCTGATGTTCTGACCCGAAGTTCTGATCTAAGACAAGCTTACGGGTCAGTTTGATGTTTAATAAAAAAATGAAGAAAACCTTCAAAGCACTGAGCAGAAATCTTGAGGAACTGAAGCAACATTGTAAAGAGGAGTGGACCAAAGTTCCTCTGCTGTCAGGTAAGTGACTAAGTCACACAGAAAACCCGCTGAGAGGTTCTGCTACGGAGGATGCGTTCTACAAGCTGCTGAGGGTGGTTCTACGAGCTGCTGAATGAGGTTCTAAAGGCTGTTGAATGAGGTTCTACAGGCTGTTGAATGAGTTCCTACCGGCTGTTGAATGTGGTTCTACAGGCTGTTGAATGAGGTTCTACAGGCTGTTGAACGAGTTCCTACAAGCTGTTGAATGAGGTTCTACAGGCTGTTGAATGAGGTTCTACAGGCTGTTGAACGAGTTCCTACAAGCTGTTGAATGAGGTTCTACAGGCTGTTGAATGAGGTTCTACAGGCTGTTGAACGAATTCCTACAAGCTGTTGAATGAGGTTCTACAGGCTGTTGAATGAGGTTCTACAGGCTGTTGAACGAGTTCCTACAAGCTGTTGAATGAGGTTCTACAGGCTGTTGAATGAGGTTCTACAGGCCGTTGAATGAGTTCCTACCGGCTGTTGAATGTGGTTCTACAGGCTGTTGAATGAGGTTCTACAGGCTGTTGAACGAATTCCTACAAGCTGTTGAATGAGGTTCTACGGGCTGTTGAACGAATTCCTACAAGCTGTTGAATGAGGTTCTACAGGCTGTTGAACGAATTCCTACAAGCTGTTGAATGAGGTTCTACAGGCTGTTGAATGAGTTTCTACAGGCTGTTGAACGAGTTCCTACAAGCTGTTGAATGAGGTTCTACAGGCTGTTGAATGAGGTTCTACAGGCTGTTGAACGAGTTCCTACAAGCTGTTGAATGAGGTTCTACAGGCTGTTGAAATAGGTCCTAGAGGCTGTTTAATGAGGTTCTACAGGCTGTTGAATGAGGTCCTACAGGCTGTTGAATGAGGTTCTACAGGCTGCTGAATGAGGTTCTACAGGCTGCTGAATGATGTTCTACAGGCTGTTGAATGAGTTTCTACAGGGTGCTGAATGAGGTTCTACAGGCTGTTGAATGAGGTCCTACAGGCTGTTGAATGAGGTTCTACAGGCTGTTGAATGAGGTCCTACAGGCTGTTGAATGAGGTTCTAGAGGCTGCTGAATGATGTTCTACAGGCTGTTGAATGAGATGCTACAGGCTGCTGAATGAGGTCCTACAGGCTGCTGAATGAGGTCCTACAGGCTGTTGAATGAGGTCCTACAGGCTGTTGAATGAGGTCCTACTGGCTGTTGAATGAGTTCCTACAAGCTGTTGAATGAGGTTCTACAGGCTGTTGAATGAGGTCCTACTGGCTGTTGAGTGAGATCCTACACGCTGTTGAATGAGGTTCTACAGGCTGTTGAATGAGGTTCTACAGGCTGCTGAATGATGTTCTACAGGCTGCTGAATGAGGTCCTACAGGCTGCTGAATGAGGTCCTACAGGCTGTTGAATGAGGTCCTACTGGCTGTTGAGTGAGGTCCTACAGGCTGCTGAATGAGGTTTTACAGGCTGCTGAATGAGGTCCTACAGGCTGTTGAATGAAGTTCTACAGGCTGTTGAATGAGGTCCTACAGGCTGTTGAATGAGGTTCTACAGGCTGTTGAATGAGGTCCTACAGGCTGTTGAATGAGGTCCTACAGGCTGTTGAATTAGGTTCTACAGGCTGCTTAATGAGGTAGTTTTTTAGGCCCATAACTTTTATTTTGGTTTTCTGCTTTATTTTCTTCTCACAGTCGGAGTTTTCTGGTTTTTTGTAGTTAGGTTGAGCTGCAACATGAACCTGGGTTTGTGTCCAGATGTGTGATCATGATCGAGGCACGGCCCAGACTCTGGGGACTGTGACCCCACCCTCCTACTTCTCTCTGGGTGGAGGTCAGCTCAGCTCACAGCTTTTCTGCACATTCTTCTCTGACTGCTCAGATACGTTCCAGCGAGGAAGACCCTGATCTGTGACCCTGATCTATGACCTTCAACTGACAACAAGTCCCCACAGATCTCAGTCCAACAGAACAGTTTTTTGATGTGGTGGAACAGGAAGTTCTCATCATGGATCCGTCAACCTGATGTTTTCATGAGTCTCAGAGCTCCACCAGGGGCATGAATCTAGACCCAGCTCTGAGAGGACAGTTCCTGTGTCAAACGCATTAAGTGTGAAAAGTCTCTTCAAGCCTTTTTTTTTTCTTTTATTAACAATCATCTTCTCACATTAGCAGCTCTGGACACTAATGAAACATTTCTGAGCTGGTTTCAGTCTGACAGGGAAACGTGCTGCACAAAGTTGAATAAAGGAGTCTAATCTGGGAACTGATGAGTCACTGGGCTCAATTTAGCTTCAAGTCACTTCAGACAAAAAGTGTTTTTGTTTAATTGGATTCTGCAGTTTGTTCTTGCAGCAGTTTTTTTTTAACCAACCCTCTTTAGGTTTTCCTTTCACAAAACTTTCTGAAACTGTGTCAGCCTAGAATTGCAGCACAGGTGTTAAGATGTTAAGATGTTAAGCAACCAATAAAAGGTAAATGAGTCATCAGACAAAGAGTTTATTTCTGCCTGTAGGTAAATACACCATAGAACTTCAAATAATTATGAGCACATTTTAACTTCCTGTTTTAGAGGTTCAGTGAAACCAGTTAGATGATAAAGTGGAAGTTGGGCAGAACAGAAGATGAGCTGAATAAATGCTTCCTAGGCTGGAGAAGGTTCTCTGAAAAACCAGCCTCAGAATGAAGAAGCTCCAATTTAAAACCAAAAGCATCACTTAGAGAACAGTTTAGGAAAGCAACTTCAATTACAATTTCCTCTTTGAGCTGCCTGGACCTGGACCTTCATAAACCTCCAATCCAGATGCAGACTTCCTGTGAACCGTAAGCCTTAATGAAGAGGAATCCACTGGGGTCTGGATATACCCCAGGAACAGAGAAGAAGGTGTGGAGCATGTTCATAAAGCCACCGAATATCAGTTCTGGGCTCCTGGAGCAGCGTTTCCATGTTACAAAGCGAAAACACCACCCACATCCATGCCTCGGTACTGCCCAGTTCCATCAAAGGTCCATCATCATAGCTGATGTTCTTTTATAATGGGCAGAACTGGCTTGCCCCACATGTCCTGTAGATTGAATACTACCATCCATCTATCTCTATCATCTACACCTACTTATCTACTTCTCCTTGCAGGCCGGGGGTTGCCTGGACAGGTCTCCAGTCCATCACAGGAAAACCAACCATGCACGCTTGTACCTAAGCGCAACTCAGAGAGACCAGTTCACCTAACAGTTATGTTTTTGGACTGTGGTAGGAAGCCGGAGAACCAGGGGAGAACCCATGCATTCATGGGGGAACATGCAACTTCATTCAGAAAGGCTGCTGGCTGGGATTCAAACCCAGGGCCTTCGTTCTTCAAGGCAACATTGTTACTAATCGCTCCACCATGCAGCCATTGACAGCTTTCTGTAATGCTATTCTTTGACCATCAGGTGGCGCTCTTACAGATCCCAGATCTGATTAGACTACAGTTTTACCAAATGAGAGATTATAATGCAGTTCAGTCTGTAGAGCATCATCAACAGAACACAAGCTGTGGATAAACCAGCTAAAAACGAGACAAATATAAGTAAATGAACCTTCTGTACATATTTACACAACTCTCTGCTCAGCCTACGGTGCATTGCTTACTCAATGGTCCATTCTACGACAACCCGCTGTTAGTTGGGTTGTTGTAGACAGCATCAGGGCGGACTCTGCATCCGGGTCAGAATATGACTGTATATCTATATCTGTACGGCTGAACAAAACCAAAGAATGTATATTTATGACAAAATGTCACAGAAGCTTCAAAATCTGCATAAAAATAAAGCCCATAATGCAAAACTGCACCATGGTCCAGCAGCCTGGATCTGTACTGCTCCAGACCTGGAACCTGGAACCCACCGGGCCCTGCAAGGCTAGTCCGTATCCCCTACATGCATGCCTGAATTAAGCCCGTCCTGTCAACTGCTAGAACCTGTCAGCACTTTCTTCTAACCTTCATGATGTGAACATATTACATCTTTCTGTCATTTATTAAATGTGTGGTAGAGTATAGATAACATCTAGACTACTATGAGTAGAAATCACAGCAGTAGTGTTGTTTTAGGATGGGCCACCTGGCTCTCTGCTCAGGGCTCCATTCAGCCAGGGGACAACATGATCATTTTAACAATAATTACTAATTGTCTGCTGCAGCCGCAAACATGTTTTCAGTTGCTTGTTCAGTCAATGTGGAGCAGCTGGTCCGAGGGGCCCTAACAAGTTGTTTTCTGATTTGCTTGTTAATATTTAGCCCTAGCCTCTAAAGGGATATTTCATTTTTACGGGAAGACTGAGATGAACTTAGTCATCTGTTGTTAACTCTAAATGTAGTTGGACTGATCAACTATGAACTGAATTATTCTGCTAGTTAGAGGGGTGCAAAGCGAAGATTTTTCCAACCAACTGACACGAAGCAGCTTTGTCCTGGTTGTAAACTGATTTTCAGGGTACTCTGCGACGGCAGATCATCATCTGTTAAAGCAGTGACAGTTAAATATTTCAGATAAAACCTGCTGAAACAGAGGAAGAGTGGAAAGGTTCTCGTGTTGTAACAATGCCACCAAAGGAAGCTTTGAGTAAAACAATGTTGCCATGGTTACATGTTGACATAGAAACTGCAATCTTCAGAAAGGATTGCGCCAACTGCATATCAATGTATGAATGTGGCTCTAGTGTAAAGCATGTTGATTCAGGGTTGATGTATAAGTGGTCCCTGAATCTCCATATAGGTGGCCTGCAGAGACTCTGCAGCTCCTCACAACCAAAACCATCATGAGATGTTTGGTTCCAACATTAAACCACATCTGTAGACCCCACATGTTGGGTCACTATAGTATCCAACTACTGTGTTCTAATAAAACCCACAATGTTCTCCAGGAACTACCAAATAACAGAACCAACCCACTCCTAATACCGCCACTTACGCCCCTGATGGCCAGTTATGTGCCATGTTTTTGTAGACTGAATCATTTACTGTAGATCTCCATCGCTGGTCTACATGAGGACCAAATTACGTCCAACTCAGACCATCCCTTCTCTGAGTACATACTCTTTCATATAGGAAGAGGGCCTTTGAAAGTTTTCCCACCGCCACGTTCCAACCACATTTATGTGACAGAACTAAACAAAGCATTATTGTAAAGTAGAAGGGAAATTATTTATTGGTTTATATGGTAGATTTTCTACCTGTAAAACCAGTAAAGTGTGGAGTGTATCTGTATTCAGCCCCGCTGAGACAGTACTCTGTAGAACCACCTTTGGCTGCAGGTCCAACTTTGAACATCTACTGACTCAGAGTTTTACCCATCCTTCTTTGTAAAACAGCTCCAGCTCAGTCAGATTGGATGGAGAAAATCTGCAAACATCAGTTTTCAAGTCTTGCTACAGATTCTCAGTTGGATTTAGGTTTGTACCTTGACTAGGCCATTCTAACCTATGAATAAGCACTTATCTAGCCCACCCCACTGTAGCTCTGGCTGGATGTTCAGGGTGGTTGTCGTGCTAGGAGGTGAACCTCCACCCCAGTCTCGGGTCTTCTGCAGCCTCTAACAGGTTTTCTTCTAGGATTCTCCTGAATTTAGCTCCATCCCAGCTTCCCTGTTCCTGCATTCCCGCAGCATAATACTGCCACCACTATGTTTCACTATGGGAATGGTGTGTTTAAGGTGATGTGGAGTGTTGATTTTCCTTCACACATAGCAGAATCTTCTCCACAACCTTCTCCCTAACCTGTCTGCCATGTTCCTTGTGTTCTCTAATGTTCTCTAACAAACTTCTGAGGCCAGAAACAGAGCCAGTGCTAAAATGAGTCAAGATACCAGACTAATTCTGTTCCTGTGTTTGTTTAATTTCTTCATCCTTTAATTGGAATCTTTGATTGGGAGGATGTGGCAGAAATTTGAGAAGATGTTTCCAGTCAATTTATTTTGTAACACGGGGAGAAATAAATCTGTTCCCGTTCTGTGTACTTATTAAAAACCATTCTCTGCTATTTTCAGTCTCAACTGCTGGACCTGTATTTTTCACTGAAACTCCAGTCTAAAAACAGAACCTGAGTGGGAACAATCGGACTGTGGGAGGAATGAAAAGAGGAAGAAGAGTCGACCTGCAGCGACCGACTCTATAAGCTGACACACACGTTTTGTTTTACCGCAGAACCCCAGCACACTAAAACACAGCAGGTTCCCGACTGAAACACTGCAAAGACTTATGGGTAATATAGTGTACCCTCAATTGCTCGTTAACACAAACAGCCAATCATTGGGCAGCAGCTCAATGCATTTATTCATCTGGACGTGATGAAGATGACCTTGATGAAGATGAAGATGAAATTGAGCATCAGAATGAAGAAGAAAGGAGAGCTAACTGGCTTTGAACGTATCATAGTTGTTGATACCAGATGGGCTGGTCTGAGTATATCAGAACCTGCTGATCTACTGGGGTTTTCATCCACAACCATCCCTCATGTTGACAGAGAATCATCTGAGTGGATGAAGATGCCTTTTAGATCTCAGAGCAAAACAAGCCAACTGCTTCCTGATGAAAGAAAGGCAGCAGCAGCTCAAATAACCACTGGTTCCAACCAAGGTGTGCAGAACACCCTCTCTGAATGTACAACATGTGGAACCTTGAAGCAAATGGGCTACAGCAGCAGAAGACCACACCAGGAACCATTCCTGTCAGCTATAATTAGGAGCTGAGATCCTAGACTTACCAGAACTGGACCAGAACAGATTGCACAAACATTGCCTAGTCCGACAAGTCTCCGTTTCAGCTGCAATGTTCAGATGGTCGGGTCAGAATTTGGTGGAAACAACATGAAAGCTTGAATATATTCTACCCCGGATCAGCGGTTCAGGAAGATGGTGTTGGAAATATTTTTTTGGCACACTTCTGGTTATTTCATAGTTTAAACCCCGCAGCCTCTTTGAGCATTGTTGCTGACCATCTCACTCCCCTTATGGCCACAGTGGACCCATCCTCTGATTGTTACTTCTAGCAGGATGATGATCCATATCTCAAAGTTCAGATCATCTCCAACCGGTTTCTTGAACTGACAAAAAGTCCCCACAGATCTCAGTCTAACAGAACAGTTTTTTGATGTGGTGGAACAGGAAGTTCTCATCATGGATTCTCATGATCTGCAGTCCATATGGACCAAAATGTTTTGGACACTTTGCTGAATTAATGCAGTTCTGAGGCAAAAGTTTGGCCCAACCCAGTACTAGCAAGGTGTACCTAATAAAGTGGCAAATGTGTGTAAATTTTTTCACTAACAGAATAAAATCTGCATAACTCAATGAGATACATGGAGATGATTCCCCTCAGTCCAACCTCCCTCTGGCAGAAGATAAAATTTCTTCTTCAGCACCAAAACCAAACCCAGTGACAGCCCAGAGGTTGGGAACTCTGGTTCTGTTAGGATCACACAGTGGTTATGCAATGGCGTTCTGGACGCCTCCTTCTGATTTTCATTTTCATCACATCTCAGTCCTTTAATACATCTGATCCACCTGAATCTATGAGCAGCTAAATGAGGTTAGGGAGATATGAGAACAGCTCCTCTGCAGAGATGAGGGAACGTTTCATGTTCTGACTCTTTACGATCGAGACGTTCTGCCGTCGCTTTCAGGAACCAACTGACCGCTCTGCTTTCATCGTGTCAGCTGCCTTCTTCTTTCTCTGTAATTCTATTTTATTCAGAGGCGTCTCCTGACCAAACAGAGGAACTGACAGACAGCTGAACAACAGACAGGAAGGCTTCTAAAAGTGGAGTCGACACATTTGCAGAAGGTTCTGACAGCAGAGCGGCAGCAGCTGTGCGGGAAGATGAAGAACCAGAAGATTTCAGGACATGTTGGGCAACGCAGAAAACTGTTACTGTGTAAAAACTGAATTCTCCCTGAAGCATCTAGTCAATGGAGCAATCCTTCAAACAGATGGATCAAACTAGAGAACCAACCTTCATCATCTACTCTCCTCACTGAGCAGCTGCAGGGAACTCAGCAGGTTAAAATGGGTCTTAATCTGTAACAGATGTTCATCCAGAAAAATTCTGTTCCTACTGATGAAATCTGACGAGTCCAAAAGCCTCTGAGCCCGCCCCCTGACAGAGGCCACTGGACGAGGAGGAACCTTCTGCACCAAAACCATAACAGGAAGGGTTTGCCAAACATGTCTTCATTCTGCAGCAGCAAAGTGTGAAAAAAAAGTTGGTTCTGAAACCAGCACTCTGCTGGGTCACAGAAATGCTTTAAAAAACCTGGTGGTGTTCATTCAGAACCTCCTTCACCAACCATCAATAAGCTCCTTTGCTTTTAATTGATCCTATATGATGACATCATAGAAAGTCCTATAGGTTCTGGACC